GCCATGAAGACGTTCCTCTGATGGGGGTTCATTCAGCTTGATGGGTCACAGAGGAGGAGGAGCTGGTGATGAAGAGCTGTCTGTGTGTATATACAGTATCTGTTGTGTATTCAGCCCTGAGGAAGATGAAGATGCAGCTTTGCTTTGGCCTTCCTCTGCTAACAGCTAACTAACCTCAGCCAGATGTTCTGCAGCTGTTTGTCTAACATTAGAAGTTTATAATGATGATGAGCGTGTTTCTGCTGTTCTGATGGATCTCCACGGAGCGTCCTGTCACATGTTAGCTTCATGTGGGTCAAAGGTCAAAGCTGCTGACTGTCAGGAAGCGTCAGAGAAGATCAGACAAACAGATGAAACACCCCTCTGACCTCAGAGCTCCAATCAGAGCAGGAAGTAGCCATGATGGAGGCCCTGAGGCCACACCCATACTTCCTGTCAGTGCCTGTGATTGGCAGCTGCCTCCATCAGTATCATATGTATCCATATAATCACCCTGAGGTCACTGATGTTGGTGCTGTATGAACCAGATTAAATGTTTTTACATATTAACATGACGTCTCCGTGTCTCTGTCACACATACAGTATTTATTCATGTCAGTCCATTCAGTGCACAAACATGTCAGTAATCAAACACTGTGCTGTTGTGTTGCAGCTGCACACACACACTCATGTTGATGCTTTGTGTTCACTGCTGTTGGGTCAAAGCTGTGTTTAGACCAGGCTGTCCAGGTCTGATGGAGCTGCCTGTTCAAACAGTGAATGACCCGGTGTGGAGGGTCCTTCATCATGTTCTGATGGAGCTGTGGGGCAGAGGGCAGCCATCATGGTGTTTCCTGTGAGCCGCGGTGCAGCTGTGAGTCAGTGTGCTCTCTATAGAGCACTGATAAACACCAGCAGCTCAGACATTTGATTGTTCCTGGGGAGGGTGGTGTCAGGAGTTGATGAAGCTGGAAGTAGGGGGTTTAATTACGGTGGAGGACTCTGGGCAGAGTGGGACAGACACTGGCTGAAGACTCCGTCCACCCGGCCTGGGACGCCGTCAGGACCGGCAGCCTTCTTCAGGTCGACGGTTCGCAGTGACCTCATGCTCGTGTGCTGTGAGGGTGGAGCTTGTGAGGTGAGTGGGTTGTGGTGCAGCACAGTGGCTGATACATAAATACCATCCTAGTGGATCCAGCAGACGTCACATGAGGTCACAGAGTCTCCATCACTGATTAAACACCTCAGCTGTGAAAAGTATGACCAGGTTTGGTGTTGGAGTTAATAACACATTCAAAGCATTGTTATAAATATACAGTCCAGTAAGAGCAGCTCCCTGTTACAGGCGGTCTGTGTGGTTTAGTGGCCATAAAAATAAACATGTGACATCTCTGGCAGAATGAGCTTGACTCTGAACAGTGGGCTGGTCCGTGAGCTCAAAGGACCAAACGTTTGCTGCTGTAAGCCAACTGCTGATTTCTTGGCCTAGCCAAACAAAAACCTGTATGAGGTCACATGGTTTTTATTACTAGAGCGAGGATACTTAGAGTGCCCAGAGTGCTTTGTTCAGGGTATGGACGCTAAGTTCACAGGTCATATTTATGCTATTTTCTATGTCATTGTTGTACATCGTTAACCTCAGGATTACAGGTGTGTTCGTTCCATGTGGGTAGAGTCTTTATAACATTCAGGTGCAGCACAGTGCTCCATTTTAT